AATTTAAACAAATAATGCAGGAGCATGATTTCCTGTAGGGAATCATGTCCCCTACATTTTTTGTATACTAGGTAGCGTCTTACCGCTCTTTCAATGCTCTGTTTATTTTTTTCTATCTCGTGGTGTATTTTTTTTCAATATACTTAATATGAAATTCATAATGAATATAATATAAAATATAATATAATGAATATATTATATATAATGAATATTATGAATTGAAAGTAAAATAAAAATTAAGTTCGCTAGAAAACAACCAAACCAATAACCTAAAAATGTTTAAAATTTATTAGCGACCTTTAAAATTTTTTACTTTGAGCTGAAATTTTACAAAACCTATTTATTTTTCGTGTTTAAAAATTTACCGTAGCGAGCAAAAATATTGACTATTTTGGAGAGAGCTCTTAAAACATGATAAACTAACATTTTTGCGCCACCCTAATATACATGTTACAGAATGGTACATTATAGACCAGGCAGAGAAAGCTATGTTATAGCCGAGCATACATTTAGCTACCGCCCCGCCAGTCCAAGCAGTAGAATGTGTGCGAGGCAATTAATTATACTTATAATTATATAATTCAAGTATAATAATTATAAGTAATTTTTTTTTACATTTACCCAATTGGAATATTTTTTTTGGGTTGCATTCAACTGACATGATAAAATTTTAACTTTAATTATGTCACGAAGACTAGAGACAGGATTACTAATTTCGTATTTGTATACAAATGAGACAAAATATGTCGGCATCTATAGAACAAATAAAACTGCAGTGCGCAAGGCATTGGGGCCAATCAAAATCAAGTGTGACGTATGAACTTTTCCATTTGTTTGAACATGAAGCCTACACAAGGAGCCCGAACTTAATAGGGAACAGACGAATATAAAAATAAATCCAATAAAGATGGGCGATTTTACCAACACTGTTGTAAGATGGGAAGCGGCCGGAATACTAGAAAATGACCGGAAATTAAGAGAAACAAATCAGAAACTTTATTGAAAATAGGCAGGATATTGAAAATGTATCAAAATTTAACAATTTTCTGAAAATGTACCAAAATAGTCCTTGTAGTACTTATGTACCACACCAGGCACCATATGTACCCAAAAGGTACAAATGTACCACCTCTGGCAACACTGCATGGCGTACTAAGAATTTCTCAGTGAGAAACTTCATCATTGCAAACGCCTTTTGGCACACCCCCTCCATATCGGTTTTTAATCCTGTCTTTATATATAGTCTTTATTATGTACTGAGGTAACCTGTGAGGTTTATAAAAATTTGACTTTTATACTAGTATTAATATTAATACCAGTTCAAAAGTCAAATTATTATGTAGGTAGGTACTGAGGTAACCTCAGTTAGGTTTATAATATCCAATTTGATTTTTGAACTAGTAGGTAATAAAATTAAACCATAATATATTATCTTTATATTTATATATCTATATAAAGTTTTTCCAGAAGTCTCCAAGAAATTATAAACTTAAGTTTTTTGACGGTAACATGTTATAATATAAAAATTATTATATAAAAAAATACCTAACTTTAATCAGTGTATAATTTAAAATTAAATGTATTGTAGTCAACACTCATTACCAAACTTTAGTAATTAGGTTATTTATAGCCTAGGCCGTAAAAATTTATTAGCTTAATGACATAAATTACTATATATAGGGTGGCTCAAAAGTTTGGAATATTGAGTGTAACTTTTGAAATATCGAAAATATTTTAATGGTTTGGTAGTTTATTTCAAATTTTATGGTGATATTGCCAACTTTAAAAAATAAATACGTAGCCCCCCAAGGAGGCCAACTTTTTTTTAATGACAACCCCCTTTTTATATCAGAATTGAACCGATATAGGAATGATATGAGGTGCACCTGGTTGAGCGTTAAACGTTAAACAATTTTTATACAATTTTTTTTTGTTTTTTTTCAGGCTTCCCATCGTTTACCTGTAATTCATTTTTAATTCGACAAGAAACAATTGAAATTTTAATGATGGTTGGGTATGGTGATCGAAAAAGAACTCGGCAAGAAGTATGAGATTATTTGAATGGTGTTATGCAACAGGGAACAATCCCTCATAATAAAAAAAAGCGGGATAAATGTAATTACGTGATGGGGCCATGTAGGGCCACCTTTTGAAAATATTTTAAAGAAATAAAACATGAGGAAAAATACTGAATTAAAATATTCAAAATAATATAGAACTCTGCAATCAAAGTTTTTAAATCTCAATAAAGCTTTAAGCTGCATGGTTGTGCCAACTTTCCCTTAAAGGTACGGTCTGTTTTGGGCGAGTAGTCGAGGCGTTTAAACGCGGCGCTTAATCGCTTACGTCTAATCGCACCTAATCGCACCTAGTGGTTTGTTTACCTTACGTCGCCAGCTCCGGTAATCGACTAGTCGTGACAAAAATGACTAGTAGTGAACTTGTGTTTGCAGTACAGTTGCTTAAGGAAAAAGCAGAAGATGATGACAAAATTAATTGTAACCATTTTTTTAAAAGTATGTCTCGTGAAAAACACGTTTATTACAGAAACTTACCACTTTTGTCCATGTTTTTTGCTATTATTTTACAAACATTATCCCGTACATTTTGGTCTTTATACAATTTATGATTTCAATTATACAATGCTGGATGCGTTGATACTTCGTGAATCAATTTTTCGTCTTTCGTTTTGGAAAATCTAAGTCGATTACCTTTGGAGCTCATTTTTCATCAATATTCGCGAGCGTTTAATTAAACGCGCACGTAAAAATTGCCTCACGACCGATTTTGCCCCAAGACGCGTCGTCTTGTAGCGATTTGTATCGACTTATCGCTTAAACAAGACCATCACCATGATATGTGTATATAACCTATTGGCGCGATTAAACGCCGCGTTTAATCGCCTCGACTACTCGCCAAAAACAGACCGTACCTTAAATATTGAAATTGTGAAAGTTTATACAGCGCCAAGCGGCTTGGTTAACGCTACTTTTGACTAAACGCAATTTATACTGCAAGAAGGATTCATGCTACTTGGATGTGGTTTAAGTTGAAAAGATAAAGTTGGAAAAAAATTAACCAATGGTTTTATATGACAAAATCAATATTTCCAAAAAATAAGAGAAGATCAGGAGGATCTCAGAGCTATATTAAAAGATTTAAAATCTATTTATCACCAAATTCCAAATTATGGTTTCCATGTTATAATAAAAAAATAGGCAATAACCATCAGTTTTATTTATTCTACAAGGGACCAACCAACAAATTTACTTATTTTAATGAAAATATTGAAAAAAATATTATAAGAAATAAAAATTCAGTACTAAATTAGCGATTTGGAAATAAAATTAAAACGTTGAATCTATACTTAAGACCACAGTATTTGCAACAGTGAGGGTTGGTTCCCTGTTGCATAACACCATTCATTTAATGCCACGTATGCGAAAAAGGAGTCTCTGACACAATCATGCATAAGCAAAATTCTAAAAAAAATCTGAAACCAAGTGTGAAAAATAGGACTAAAAGCGGTCGACCAAAATCTGCCACTGCTGTTGCCCTGAATGTGCTATTGCAAGTCCAGGAAGTACCTACAGTTTCTTGTCGGGGGTTGCTCGAGACAACGATATCAGTTATGCGTCAATGCAAAGGTTATGTGTGAGGACGATTTTGATCGTAGGGCTGAGTTTTGTGAAGTTTTGATGGAACGTTGTAATCGAGATCGAAATTTCTGAAGAAAATTTTTATTTTCAGATGAGGCCACATTCATGCTGAACGGTTTTGTTAACCGTCATAACTGCCGCTACTGGTCACACCAAAACCCGCATTGGAAAGAGGAGACACACACACACAGCACCCTCAAAATCTAAATGTATGTATAGGCAGGAATAATTGACCAACACATAATAGGACCATTTTTTATTGAGGGAAATTTAACTGCAAAACAATATTTTAACCTCCTACAGACATATATTGTTCCAGCAGTAAGGGCATTGTACCCTGGCAAAAATACTGAAGTAGACAACACCATTTGGTTCCAGTAAAACGGTGCTCCACTACATTTTGGTTTGGAAATATACTAGATACTTATCCCAGGTATTTCCTAACAGGTGGATTGGTAGACAAGGACCAATAGAGTGGCCTGCTAGGTTTCCAGGCCTAACAACATTGGACTTTTTTATGAGGTCATTTGAACTCAGTGGTGTACAAAAATAGGCCAGGCAATCTTCAGGTTCTCAGAGAAAGAATAGTTGATGAAATTCATAATGTTCAAAACGTTTGGCTTTAAAATATAAAAAATAATTTAAAAATCTTTTAGGCCTCTGTCTTGCTGTAGGTATATTATATTCTTGTTTTTTATGCTATATTTTAAATAAAGTTTTTTTGAATTCTAGGCCGTTTTGCTCAAATATCCCTATATATATATATATATAGGTAACATTCTAATATTAATATACTGTTATAATCAGAAAAAAGCTTCTTTCTATTGTAAAATAGGGGGGATACTATTTTTTTTAAAAGTTGGCCCCCTTGGGGGCTACGTATTTATTTTTTTGAGTTGAATTTGAAATAAATATATATATACGTACCTATATTCACTGTAGTGAAAATCAATACAATACAAAAAATTACCTTACAAATTTGTAGTTATAAATAAAAATGCATAATCCGTGTTAATGTAAGTTTTAAATGCATGTTCTTGAAAAAAAAATGGATTAGGTACCTATACCTATTTTTATACTTAATATTACCTACCTACCTAATTACTGCGAAATTATTTTAAAAACAAGATAAATAAAATAGGTTACCTGAAATGAACTAATTTATTAATAATACCTTTATAAAAAACCTGCATTTCAATGACTAAATTATTTAAACCAGATTTTATAAATAGCAGTAATTTTACGACTTGTTTTCATAAACAAATCAAATAAGACAAAATGTAATATACATAACCTATATCTCATCATACAAACAAATCAAAAATTAAAATTTAAACTTACTTTTAATGTATTGTGGACAAACCCCCCTTTAAACACTGGCACATCACTAAAATCTAAAAAAATGGTGTTTATTATAGGATATTTACTGGACTATGATATTATGGTTTTACGTGTTTTTGACACGTTCAAACACCTGCGGATCATACCTTTAAAATAGAAAAGTGTGCTTGAAATGTGAGCCTTGAATGAAATTGCGGCGTTGTCACGTTTATTTTAATTATTTTTTTTTAATTTAAAAACAACAAATTTTGAAAATTTAGGTTAAAGAAATGTTCAATTAAAAAATGTAACACGCCACAAACATACAGGTATCACGAGAACGCAAAAGTTTTGCGGCAAAACACAACACAAAACGCTTTTGTTGCACTTTTGTTTTAAAAATGTGACAGACTGTCACTGACAGTTGAACTCAAAGAACAGTTGAACTGTTCTTCCAGTGCTGCCACTCGTAATGTGAAAGACGCTAACTTCATTAGTAAGCGCCCGCTGCGTATGCAACCCAGTATATATTATGGCACATGCTAAAATATATATGGATAAACTGCTAAAAATATAAATGATAACGGTTAAGGAAATATAAATAACTTTGTGTGATAAAATATATATAAATAAATTTTATTGATAAAATATATATCTCAATTTATAATTTTATTTCTTTAAGTAATATTTTATAATTTTTGATTTACATTTATATATTTTTAAAATATTGTTTTATATTTATTAATTTTTTATTTATTATTATGGCACAAACGGCGCCTCATACCCACAATCCAATTGTGCATAATTTTAAACCTAAATGTATAGGATGGATAAATAAAAAATACCTATGGGTATACTTCTGTTAGTATTGTAAATGCATATCAAATAATGGTAGGCTTTTGCAATGGTTTAAAATATAATTTTAATAAAAATAATTATTAAAAATATAATAATAATTGAACCAGCAAAGGATTCAATTTTTAAATAATATAATTTTTACTGAAAATATAATTTTAATAATAATAAATATTATTATTAATATTATATTTTTAAACCATTGCAAAAGCCCGCCATACATTGAAATTGCATGCAAGCCATTTACAATACCAATACAATACTACACTTACACACACATACAATATTACGCTTTTAAAGCGGTTTCATATGTAGATGCGAAATACGAAAAATGTTTTTATTGGTCCATTTGATTTGGCGGGAAAAGCGTTTTGACGTTTCGACAGATCCTGCGAATTCGCAAGATTTGAAATCTGGGGGGCGGGAATCTTGAGATTGGTTCAATATTAGTGCAATTAGCTTCCATATTTTATTATATTTGAATAAAAACTTCTTCTTCTTCTATACTTTTTATTCTGTCTTTAGAGAGAATTGGACTTGAGCCAATTATGCTCTTACTGCCCAGTTACAAGTTTTTACGACCTTGAGCTTCTTGAAGCCATCCACTCACAGAATTTGTGGAATTTCAAATCTTGAAACATCCACTAAATCAATTGCACAAATCACAAAATACCTCGCTGGAAGGTCAAAGCTTGCGATATTGTCGAGAAATACCGGTATATTTCTATACCAGCTGGTATAGAAATATACCGGTATTTCTCGACAATATCGCAAGCTTTGACCTTTCAGCGAGGTATTTTGTGATTTGTGATTTATATATAAAGATTCAAGTGGAGAAAATCCATTTAAAAATTTGGTTTGCCTAGCGCAAAAAGTCATATGCTCGCCTTTGTCAAATGCCGAAATCGAGAGGGTATTCAGTCAAATGGCGCTTATTAAAACAAAATTGCGAAATCGAATGAAGCTACCACTCCTAAATAATTTGTTGCATATCCGATTTGGCCTTCGAAGAATGAAAAAGTGCTGTAAAAGCTATACCTTACCCGATAGAATCCTAAGGGATTTTGGCACTTTGCAGGCTTATATTAATGACGATGCAAAATCGACTGAATTTCTTGAAAATTTCGAGGAAAATTTATTAATAAACTATTTTTTTTTTAATTTTTTTTATTGACCTTAAGAATTATTTATTTTTATATATTTTATTTATTTTTCTTATTTTATAATGACTTGATTTTTTAATGATTTATGTTATGTTATTTAAATAAAATATTTGTTAACAATTATAATTATTAATTATTTTTGTGTGATGATAAGATAATGCATTATCTTATCTTATCTTAAAATGGCATGCCATTTTCTAGTGTCCTTTACTACAACCACGTTAAAATTCTTTCTTTATGAAAAATCAATTCTGTTTAAAATTTTGCAACCACTTTTTTTCTCTTTTTTTTTTAAATTTGCGACATTGGCGATTTTTAAGTGCCAAATAATTTAGCGATTTCTGGCGACTTTTGAAGAGCTTGGTTGAGACTTTTCACAATAGACTGTTGGCAACACTGCTTAAAGCAAGTAAATAAAATTAAATGTAAACTATTTTCAGTAAAAGTATTGTTTACATTAAAGCTACAATATTTTTGAAAAAAAAAATACTTCAGAGTTGTATTAGTATACTATAGTTATTAAAAAAATCGGGTTATTTTTGAAATAGTATAAGAAATATTTGAAATAAATTAAAATAAATAATGATAAGTATACTTAGTTTAAATATAGTTTAAATTAAAATTTTTAAATAAGAATAAGTATACTTGATCATGGCTATTGTCAAATTCAGCACTAGCGTATTCTGATTATAAGTGAAACTTACCTAAATTCTTAAGAATACGGCTATATTAGAATCAAATATATATTTATAATATTATGTTTTCTTGTGGAGTAGTGAAACGGGTATATTCTTATACGGCTATATTAGAATCAAATATATATTTATAATATTATGTTTTCTTGTGGAGTAGTGAAACGGGTATATTCTTGGGCAAACGCTACTATGCTTTAATATAGTACAGCTTTTTTCCGTGCATATGGTTCAAATCCGACAGCAGGAATTGGGATTGGAATCCCCTAATATTACTTTTATCTATGGAATGACATATATTCCGTAAAGTGATACAGAATGAAATATTCTATCATCGGATGACAGAATAAACACTCGTGGTGACATCTCTGTTTTTAAAATCTAACAAATTTTAGACCGATCCAACCTCACTTTCTTCCAATTAAATTATTTTTCTATGGTTTTTTTTGGAAACGTAGAAAAAGTATAGTCTGAAACACGTTTGTAATTGCTTATTCCGCTCTCGTGAAACCGTCAAACCACAGAACATAAGCGTCAAACTCGCCTTTGGCTCGTGGAGTCGTTAAAAAAAGAGCATCAAGATCGAATGATTGATTCGGAAATATTTAACAACAAAATAATGATAAATTTATGGTGATGCGTTAATTTCTTCCGCCAGTGTATATAATTTTTCCTTACTCTTTGACCTAAAAAATATTGCAGTCTGTAAAATCCGTCCCTGTATGCATGCCACAAAAACTTTTATAATATAATTATCATTGGAAAAAAATATTCATTTTATTACACTAACACAAAACGGTTTCAAGACTTTTAACTGCAATTTATCCCCATTTTCGAAAAGATCTAAAAGATCTTGTTCTTTTAAGCGCTTACCCAAACCCTGCTTAGTGGGGCAGCTCCCTCCTGCTACGCCCTTGTCAAACAGATATCACTATTTTAAAATGGATTTAATATATAACATTTATTTTTAATATAAGGCGTATTCATGCTCACTTAAAATAAGAAATTAGATCGCGATTAATCGTTCATGCTGATATCATAAGAAATAAAAAATGTCACACAATTATATTTTCTTATAGTGGATTATATTTTGGCTATAAACGTAAACAATCGACAGCGACACTCAACGCGATCTCCAACACCATGGATCCATGGCCAGGCTGGCACATAAAACCCATAAATCTAATTTACATACCAAGTTTGTCCTTTGCGCAGTTTTATACGCAAAAACAAGAACCAAAGTTAAAAGTTATTTATCTTTAGTCTTATTTCTTATTTTCATGAACATGAACGCAACCATTACTTTACACAGTTTTAACTTTTTATCTTATTTCTTATTTTTATTTCTTATTTTAAGTGAGCATGAATGCGCCTATAATATTACATGTTTACACGTTCCCATTATTTTTAGAGGTTGGGTTGGGTAAAAACGATTACCAATTTTATAAAAATCAGGGTATGTTTACATAGTTTATGTGCCTTTTTTAAATTTTGATCAAAAACATAATATAACATATGCATTTAAAATAAAAGGTTAATAAAATATTAGTATATCAATAACTAAAACCAATATAACATACATCGTACCACAATGTGTGGATTGTGCATGGTACTAAGACCATGCATGTATAACATATGCATTTAAAATAAAAGGTTAATAAAATAATAGCATATTAAAAACTAGTTTTATTCCATATAGACTAAATTTTTAACAAATCAATACAAAAAACAACAAAAAGTGCGTCCTATAATAATAAATGTACATTACATTTAAACAAAAAGGTGTGTCAACTTAAAGAACTATAGTTTAGCCAAAGGCATGGAAAAAGTCTATTCAAGATTAATAAAATATTATTTACAGGGTTTTATCGCCTGTACGGGTGGTACGACTGCGAAGTACTGTAACCGTTACTTCTTTGCGGGCCTCCTGCATAAGAATCTCCAGCAGCTGCTGAGTAATCGCCTGCGAAGAAATTGTTAAGATATGCAAAATTTTTAGGGAAACAATTGGTTATATATACAGGGTGCTCCTTAATTGATGGGCGATACTGGATTGACTCAATCAATAAATTTAAGAAAAAATGTTTACATAAACTTAGATGCAACCGCTTTAATTTGGGGATAAAGGTCGTTCAAAATTAAAAAATTAATATCGTATACATACATATTTTTTCAAGTTTATTGGGTGACAGGCATAAAAATATATTTTTTTTTACAACAAATATTTGTTTTACTTCTATTAGTGAATCCACATGTGCACTGTGCACTAACACGCCCTTGAATATTTTTAACAAAAAATAACAAGCCACTGTTTTTTTAAATTAAGTTTTAAATTTTATTGGGTGACAGGCATAAAAATAATTGTATCCGAAATCGGCAGTAAAGTAGTCAACAATCGGCAGTAAAGTAGAACCGTCAATGGTAGAACTTTACTGCCGATTTAAGATGTGTACTGCTCCTCAGCA